AAGGAGGGGGGAAGAGGGAGACCAAATTAGATTGCAAACCCTAGACCAGCCTCTCTCCCTCTCTTTCCTTTCTCTCTCCCTCTCCCCTCCTTTCCCTTTTCTGATCTAAAAATATCCCCCTTGCTTGAGCTGACTGCGGTATCTTTTGTGTTGCATCTTTCTGTTTTTAGCCTTTGCATGAGCCATTGAAGGGTGGCCTGCAAGAGATCAGAAGCACAAGATATTGATCTATCGATACCCTCTGGGGCCAAGAATTAATTTTAAATGAAAGAGCTGCACCTTGATTTTGGCAGTGGGTGGGTGGGCAGATGACAGGGGTTATTTTAGGATACCATTCACATTCTATGAAGCCGCAGCTTCCACTTTCTCCCTCTAGATTCATTTTAAAAATATCTTTCCTTCCTCACCCCACCTCTCTCACGTGGACCTGTGGGCAAGCACATGTCACCCCCATTCATACAAACACAATGCAACGGAGCAGCGGTAATTTGCAGAGATGGTACATTCACAAACAGCAACCCAGTCGCTTTAATGCAGGTTGATTTCACAGAGAGGACACCGCAGCCCAGAGGAATTTGATTAGACCGGTGACTTAAATTTGCAAGCTGCTTATTGGGTTCCTTATTGTCTTCATTCTAAGTTAGCAAAACTGATTTAATGTCTCTCTCTCTTCCTTTTTTTAAAAAAAAATAAATAAAAGAAAAATTCCATTTACACTGTAGATGGTAGACTTAAATCTTAGAACCAGTGGTAAAGGACAGTAAAAAACATTGATGGCGATCAGCATTTGAGTGCTTTGCATCAAGGCACACACCCATGGCCTGATACAGCTATATCTATCCATGACCTACACGATGCAGAGCTGTATATACGTACCAAGCAGCAAATCTAATCCTGCAACGTTCACAACTCAGGAGAGTGAGGATTTTATTTTTTTTTTTTGCATTGGTGAAAATATTCAGAAACACAGCCACAGTGCTAGACAGTAATAATTTGCAAGATCAGGCCATAAATAGGGCTCTAGCCCTGCAAACATTTATTCACGTGCCAAGTGTTAAGACTGTGACTAATCTAATTTGAAATCAAGGGGATTACTCATAGTAGTAACATTAAACTCATGCATGTTTGCAGGATCAGGGCCTAAGTGATTAATCACCACTGCAGCTAGGCACTTTTGGGTACACCATTTATTACTTACAATACTTCAGCACTGTATACACTCAGATCCATGCTGGAGAGTGTGCATTGCTCTGCTGTAGCGAAGAATGAGCATCGTATTCTGCTGAATGAGGAAGTATGCAACACACCCCAATATTCATATGCTCGATCTGATTTTTGCAATACTGATGAACTTCCCAGAGGCCCTGGCTAAAACCACTTGGGGCAAATTTGGAGTCATTTGAGCAAGGAGCTGCAGATGCACAGCCTGCCTGAGATGGGCATCTCACGTGTCATTTGTGTGCACAGAGGCTCCACTCCTAGTTCCGAGGGAGAAATAGAGAAAGACTAAAAGCACGGCCATTGTATGAATCATTCATTCATGCATTCATTCATCTTTGTATTACTACTGATATTATTATTATTACTACTACTATTATTATTGTCATCATTATCATCATCCTCATCATGGTTTTGCAAAAGATGTCTTGGCCCTGTTCAGACTGGTTTGTTCTTTGATATTCATTTCTGCTGCTGCTCAGCACCAGTGATGACACTACTGCAAAAGTGATTGACCTTTGACCTTAGGTCCACACACAAGTTTGTGGCAAACTATGGAGTCAAAGAAAGTGAGTTGCATGTGAGAAGGAAGACCTGCTGAGGCAAGAAGGCTTCCAGGCAGCTTGCTGGGAAAACAACTGAGTGATCCACGTGGATCACAGGGTGCCATGGGCTGTTGGCTAAACCTGAGCAGCACTCGTGCACTGTGCAGGTGACTTCTCTTGACAGTTTTGGGAACAGAGTGATATACATGCTGCTCATGTTTTACAAGAGCTCCTTTTGTCCAAACCCCACTATCTCTGGTTTAAACCAACGTTTGTGAGTTCTCTAAAATAAACAGTCCAATGTTGTTTTAGAAACATAAGTAGCCAGGAAAAATCAGTAATGACTTACTGAGGGAAGATAGAAGACAGTTAAAAACAACAGGATTAGGTTACCTGGAGCAAGGAAAGTGAATGCAGTCAAAGAAAAACAAGCAATTTGGTCATCTACTCCAATATGTCACTGACAAAAAAATCCCTTTAGCACAAACTATTCTGAAGTTCCTAAATTTTTTACATTCTGGGGGTAGTGGACAGAAGGAAGGCTTTGGGGCATGTGCACCGGCTGAAGAGGGGCAGGGTGAGTTGGCTGGATGCAGAACAAAGGAGTGTCTGGAGGAGAGCACAGAAAGGAGAGGATAGGATTCTGAAAGCACAAAAGCAATTAGAGTGAGTGGGTTAGAAGACAACAGGAAAAAAGGCAAGGGAGTAGAGCTGGGGCCTGGTGTAGAATGAAGACCATGTAGGCAGTTATGAGGACAAATTAGAAGCACCTCCCATTCCTCTCTGTGTAAACGCAGTACAGAGGAATTCTGCTGGGCTCCAAGCTTGTCTCTGGCCAGAGCCACCTGGTGCTGTGTAGACATTGCTTTCCTTCATGTGGCACTTTTGCTTGACCAAGAATGAGTTTCTGAATTTCCAGAGCTGTCAACCCCCTTCCCAAGGCAGCCTGGGGCTGACCCTTGGCTCTCGTCCCTTGTGCTGCCACTCTGCGCATGGTGCACTCACACCTCAAAGCACTGCTGTGCTCTTACTTGCCCACAGATATGTCAAATAACCTGCAAGTGTGATGTGGGAAGCAGAAGGGTAAAGCTGGGATGGACATGTGGGAGGAAACAAGGGAGGAGAGCTGCAAACAGAGCTGCATGGAAAGGAAGGGGAAGGTGTCAGAAGGTATGGAGGTAGAAAGTGTGGGTGCAATGAAAGAGATTTCAGAGGGCCTGAAACGTTGTAGGAAGTAAAAAGAGCACAAAGGAATATGGTAGATGAAAGCAGGGAAAAAAAATGAGAGGAGCTGATCAACTTCAGAACCAACACCCATACCTCACAAGGCTTTGTTTCAGGTCTCCTGCTTGTTGTATGTACTCCCTTCACATTTGTCACACAGTCTCCACTACAAAGTGTAGTCAGTGGCCCAGGCTACTCCACAGTCTTTCCCAATGTCCTCTTCAGAGATTCTTGTTGGTACCTGCAAACGCAGGAACATTAAGAGGAAAGTAGTGTGCAAGACAGTGAACAAAATCCAGTGCGGGGACCTGGGCTCTCAGCATGGAAAAGCTTATATTTTTCTGGGTGTGTGTATGTTTGTGTGAACTGAAGAAGACTTGGTGTGACTTGGTATCCAAAACTTTGCTTAGAGGGAATTAAATTTCCTTCATTTCCCTTCAGGAAGTAGAGAAAGTATGGAGGACTCCTGGACAAAGTCTAATGTCTCCCTTGCTGTGGCAAAACACAAGGCAAGGTCACACAAGCAAACAGGTGCAAGTTAGGTTTGGCCTCTGTTCCAGTGCTGAGCCTACATACATCACATAAAAAGATGTCTTGACTTTTCCCTTTCTTTACAGATTCCTTCTGTGCAATGGCCTAGCTCGTCCCTTCCAGTGGCCATATCACATCACTAGGCTGTGGACAATTCCTGCAGACACATTGGCCAGACTTGCCAGTGAACCAAATAACCCACACACCATCTCTCAACATAGACCTTGCAGTGTATCATGATATCAGCTTTCCCAAGCTACACTGGCAGACAATCAATACAGCTACAGTCAACACAGTTAATATACTCAGAATAGATGCAGATAAATGCTGGATTTCCAATTTGTTGTCTGCGATTCTAATAATAGCACACCCAAAGAGAGTGTCTCAGGTCTATTTATTAGGCTCCTCAGTGTTTGCCATGCCACTTCCAGGAGCTAATGCTAGCAGCTCACAGTTAGGATCGTGTTGGGAAGAGATATTTCTTTTAGCATTTCATTGTTGACTTCTTAGGCATTGCAGTCCTATGACTGTTGGAATTTTCTAGAAGAGCAGGGAGTTACCATACCACCTGTGCAGCAGCAAATGTTGTAAGCACTAAATAATAGTGAAAGGAGGCAGTTAAGTGCACACAGTGCTGTATGGTTCAGTATAAGAGAGCGTGCTGTACACAAGGAGATTGCAGTCTAAATGAGGGACTGTACAAAGAAAAACAATTAGAAGAGAGGAAGAAGGATGGACAAAGTAAGTTACTAAATTTCACTGTGGGTGGGACAGATACATCTTGCTATTTTCAGCTTTTAAATCAAATTGGCATCCTGTATTTAAAGACTATTAGGAATTACTGCAAGAGCTTCAGTCCTGGAAGAAGAACCAGGAGATTTTCAGTCTGGATAAGCATCATGGCACATGGCTTTAGGGGTATTAGAGGCCACAGGCTACAGAGAGCACACAAGCAAGTGCCTGTGTCTAGCCTCGAGTCAAAGGAAGATGTCTTTTTTCCCACATGCAGAAGTGTTAGCCTTGGAACTTGATGTCCAAAGGGAAATTTCTGGTCTGCACAAAGTGCAAGGAGTCTGATGGATGGAGAATTTTCCTGGAATTTAGCAAAAGCAAAAAGTACTACCAAAGGCCTGAAAAACTGGTAACACCGTGAGATGTGACTGTCCTGCATCTCACCTAACCAAACATGACCCAGGGGAAAACTAGGCTTCCTGAAGCTTTGCCCACACCACACACAAAATGTTGAATGGTGTTGTGTTGCTGTCAGCATAATGAATTAGCTTCTGTAAGGAGACCCTTATGCAGCAGCCTTGGGTATGATATCCTTTAGCATACTTCAGGCTCTTTGTTTCTACTGATTTCTCCAACAAATGTTATCATACACACATGCCACTGTTTTGTCAGAGCATCTTACATGACAGAAAGCCCTTTGCAGGTTTATTTCTACCTCTGCTGCATTGTACTTGAAATTTCCAGACATGCCATTTTGGAAAACTCATTCAAGACATTAATCTTTTTCAGACTACAGGTAAACCCAGACTGTTTCCCCTCATCTTTTTTTTGTATAAAACCTTGCAGTACCTATGTCTTGCTTGTTCCTGTGCAGAGGCAGAGAAGGACAAAAAGGGCAACATTACCTTCTGACCTGCATGATGAGGGCATTCCCTGCCTTTTTAAAATGAGATGAAGGGGCTTGAAGACTGAATTATCAAAGTTAAACAACAGCGGCTGTAGGCCTGGTCCTCCCATGCCTGGTTACCTAAGGAGGCGTTCCTTGTGACACACCAGTTTGTCACTATGGAGTAATCCAGTATCTCCCCTCTGCACACTGTAGGGACAGCTCTGGTACTTCTCCTTACTGCCTGCCTTTCCTCCTCCCCATCAAAGAAAGTATAGGGAAACAGGAAATAATCCAGGGAGCAGAGGAAGACTCGCTGTCTGCAGCCCTGCCCCTTATTTCAGTGCGGTCTCTAATGACTGCTGGAAGAGTCCTTGACTGCGCCGGCTGGTCACAGCCCATGGTGGGTGAAGGTCTGACAGCATTGCCCAGACACTTGGAGGGGAAGGGCTGCAAAAGAAGGGCGTGGGTTCACAGGGCAGGCAGAATGAGGGTTGCCTCCTCCATCCTGATATCACTTTAGACCATCCTGATCAATTCTCTTTTGTCAAATTCATCCTTGGCTGAACTCCATATCTTGGAAAGTTATGAACTAACTCCCGGCACATCTGGCTCGTTTGGATTAAGAATATAGGTCTCTAAAAAGCCAATGCACCAAATATTTTTTGTGAGGTCCTCAGACAGAAAAGCCTCTGTTCATCTCATATTTTCTTTAATCCATTTCATTGGGAAATTTGTTTGAAAGCAACACTTTACAGTGGTCTTTAGTGGTTCCTAGGGCTTTAATTCATCAGACTATTCACACACACCTGAGACCATAGAAGGACTGGGCTAAAGCATCCCCAGGGGTCCATGCTTCCTGTTCAGTGCTCAGCCCCTCTCTCTTCCTTCTACACTGGTTGCCCTTCGGTGAAACCACACAAGTCCCAACACAGTGCTGTAAGGCAGGAAGAGACAGCAAAAGGTGGGGAAATTACCATGGTGAGGATGGGTTCAGCCACACCGGGCTAGGAGATGGAGGTGGATGTCAAGTTTGCTTAGAAATAAATATTCTGCTTGTAAATATTCTTCTTAGACATTAGTCTCCTCTACTGTCACCTAGTGAAGGAATTAAAAATGTTTGGCAGCTGAGAGCATTTGCTACAAAACCTTAAAAAAAAAAAACAACAAGAAGGCATCCCCAGAGCCAGCTCGAGCCTGTGACTATCACTAAGATCTTCCTGGCTTTAGAGTTGCTGCTGTCATTACTTTCAGTATAATCTGGAAGCAGAAATTCGGCTCCCTGACTCTCCCCTCACCAGAGCTCCCTGCTTCAGCAGGAGAGAGGCACAGAGAGACCCCAGGTGCCCTTTAGCCCCCACCACTTCTGGGAACATCTCTGTTTCCCTGGGCACAAGCCCCCTGGCCAAAGCTCCCCCGTCACTACCCGTGTGTTCTCCAGCAGCATTAACTTATGCACACACCATTCACCAATTGTTCAGCTTTTTTGTCAATGAAGGCACATTTTATGAATTAGAAGAGCACATGCCCCCTTGTGGCTTGACTTCGCTCCCTGCTCCACACCGCCAGCCCCCTCCGCACCCCGGCGGGGGGACTCGGGCGAGGGGAGGCTTTGCTCGAACCTGCACAGAGGTTAAAAATAGCTCACGGCACCCGAAGAGATGGCCGGGGCGTTTGAAGGATGAGCTGGAACGACAGCATGCAAAGAAACACAGAAAAGAAAAAGAATTTTTAAAAAAGGAAAAAAAAAGAAAAAAAAAAAAAACCCAGTAGCTTGAGCAATAGAGGGATATCTACTTCTACAGGGTTTTAAGAAGGGTTTAGCTAATTGAACTAAACAGAAAAGTAAGGCAGCTAACACATATGCAAAGTGCAGTCCCCTGCTCATCCATGGAGCAGGTACAGCACAGCAAATGGCTTCTGCCTGACCTATATGGCTCAGACACTCGCTAGAGAGCGTGAGTGGAGCTGATTCTTCACAGCCTTTTCTCTCCTCACCCCCTCCAGTCCCTAACACAGGATTTTCTGGGGTCGACTTTGGTAGCAGTTTAACCACAAGAACCAGTTTTACTGAGAACTGAAATGAATCCCATGACCTAATCCACAGAGGGACCCCTGAGAGGATCCAAGTACAACACTGATTTGGGAAATACAAGATTAAAGACCAGAGGAGAAGAAACAAGGCTGACAGTGCACAACCCACCCATGGACCTCATTTACAATCAGGATCATATCCTGCAGTTGTTACTCATGGCAAAACCCAAGGAGATAGAAGCCAGAACAAACCTCCAAAAGCCAGAAAGAGCCCTGGCATCACAGGTTGCGGGATTGCTGTCTCTGGGATTGTGTCTGGGGTTAGGAACTAAGAATGCCAGACATCCAATTCCGACTATCATATCACTCCTTTCCTAGACAAGTCTCTGTAAAACAAGGATTTAGTTCTCCACCTCCTGGGGGCTATGTGGCTGAATTATAGATGGTAGAAGGTGAAAAGCAATAAACAAGAAATCAACCAAATTGCTAGCATGTGGGAAGAACACGTATTAATACAATTATGAAAAATAAAATCTTTGTTTGTGCAAATGTGGGAAGGAGTGCTGTCTCATGGTTACTGGAGACAGGGAGAGGCAGGACTCCTGGACTGCAATGCTGGCATGCATGCAGCAGCACGTTAAGCTCAAACTAAGCACTCAGGGCAGCTTGGTCCTTACTTGCAGTTGCACATTCTTTGGTCAAGGATTTCCTGGTTATTTTGGGGGGAAGCATCTAGCACTGTGGTGCCCATGGGTGATATTGTGAGGAGACAGGATGCTGGACATAAACTACACACACACACACTTGTGCATGTGCATATTTGCAACCCTTTTGAGCATAACTGTCTGCTTACATCATTAAAAACATTTTTGGCTTGGTATCTTACCTTTATATTTGTGCACACAAAGACCTCGATCATGATTAGGGCTTCTGAGAATGGACATAATAAAAGTTTAAAAATACAAACAGTAGTGGGTGTTATGAATGACCTTTGTTTCCTCTGCCTTAGACAGAAAGACTTGTTTTTCAGTAAGCCTTACACAGTCTTATATAGCTTG